ACTCAAAGAGTGTGGTGGGGAAATGCTGTGTGACCCCTGAATAGATCACGGAAATCCCACGCACATGCTTCCTGGGCTGCTCGCTCTGAGAACCCAGCCACCATGCTGGGAGGAAGCTCAAGCAGCCTGTGGAGAAGCTCATGAGAAGAATCACAGCCCTGGATGAGCTCCCAGACAACAGCCGGCAACAACCCGCCAGCCACATGAGTGGCCCATCTTGAAAGTAGGGTGTCCTGACCCAGTCGAGTTTCCCACGGATGCCTTATTGAGCAGAGACAAGCCATTCCCACCACGTGCTGCCTAACTGCATCTTGTGAGAGACTCAAGCAAGTGTTTTTGCTTTATGCCACTAAGTCCGGAGTGGTTGGTTACACAGCACCAGATACTTGAAATGTGGTCCATAAAAAGGGTTTTAGCAGAACAGTGATGTTCAAGCAAGTCTTTAACCCTTATATACAGTGAAAGTCAGTCCTAAAGGAAATCAACCCTCAGTATTCATTGGAAGGACTGATGCTGAAGCTGAAGCTCCAAAAAGACCTGATGCTGGGAAAGATTGAGGGCAAGAGGAGAAGGGAGCAACAGAGGATGAGATGGTCGGATGGCATCACCAACTTAACGGACATGAATTTGAGCAAACTCCAGGAGATAATGAAGGACAGGGAAGCCTGGCGTGCTGCAGTTCATGGGGTCGCAGAGAGTTGGACACAACTTAGCAGCTGAACAACAACAACAACGAAAGACTCAACACAAATTGGCTTAAGGAAAAAAAAAGAGGGATTTCCCTGGTGGTGCAGTGGTTAAGACTTTGTGTTTCCACTGCAAGAGGCGTGGGTTTGATCCCTGCCTAGGATCAAACTAGGATCCTGCGTGCCATGTGGCACAGCCAAAAAAGAAAAAAACAATAATAAAATAAGTATTTTTCAAAGATTTCTCAGTTTTAAAAAAAGAGAAAGATATAATGGTCCTCAGACTAAAAAGTTCAAAGGAGCAGCTGTACTAGTTTGCTCAGGTTGCCATAATAAAGTACCACAGATGAGGAGCTTGGACAACTGAAATCCATCGTCTCAGAGTCTGGAAGCTCGAAGACCAAGGTCAAGGTGTCGGCAGGGCCGGTTCCGCCTCCGGGCTGTGAGGGAGGGTCTGTTCTAGACCTTTCTCCTTGGCTTGTAGGTGGCTGATGTCTCCGTGTGTCATCGCGTCATCCTCCCTCTATGTGCGTCTCCATGTCCAAATGCCCCCTTTCACAGCGGCACCCGTCCTGCTGGGTTGACTAAAGGTCCACACTCCTCCTAGATAGCTACATTTAGCCTCAGCTAGTTACATTTGGGTCTGGACGATCCCCTGGACGATCCCCTGGAGGAGGGCATGACAACTCACTCCAGTAATCTTGCCTAGAAAATTCCATGGACAGGGGAGCTGGGCGAGCTGAGATTGCAAAAGAGATGGACACGACTTGGCAACTGAGCAGAGTCATCTCTGCAGCAACTCTCTTTCCAGATAAGGTCAAAGTCTGAGGTTCTGGGGGTCAGGGCTTCAGGGCATGAGCGTGGGGGGTGGGGGGCGACCTCACCCACGCCAGGGTTAACCGGCCACGGCCATGGTCGCCATCAGCTTGCTTATCTGTGTCTGAGTCGCTCTCAGGCCCTGCGTGATGAGAAGATGCTCCAGGCCTGTAGTTAAGGCCTGACGCACCCACAGAAAAGAGAGCTCTCAATAGCCCCAGCATGCCTCCCATCTCAGTTCCTCCAGTCTGGCCGTGGAGCCACACTGAGGCTGGTCACAGTGGCCAAGGAAGGCCGATCTTTAATCCGTCAGGCCCGAGTCCCACGCGGACCCCTGGGGAGGGAGGGGATGGGCATCAGAGTGCAATTCGCAGAAGAGAGTGGTACGGCCAGAGAGCCCACCACAGACACAAGGGGATGTCCCGACCTGGCCAGAGCCTCCAGTGAGCAGAAAGGGCAGGAGAGAGTGGGCGGCTCCGTGCCAACCTCCTCGCCGGCCAGCAACGCCCCTGCAGGGCCAGGCCTGCCATCCCCCAAACTCCTGTGTCACGCTTCCATCCAAAGAGTGACAGGCTCAAAGCCCAGCCCTGAGATTATGCGAAAAATAATATTTCAAGGCCCTTATTAAAGATACTCAGAAGGCCTTTCGAATGTCAAACAGCTGTGAGCAAACCCTAATTTGATGATCTATGTGTTAATGAATCCCAGACATACAGATTAAATTCTCTTTAAATTGCACGTGGTTTTAAAATGCATTTCTCTCCAGTGTGTCTGGTTCAAAATAAGGTTAACAAAACACCTGTGAGGCAGGTCCGCTGATCCGGGGACCAGCTGAGCAGGGGCTGAAGATGGGCCTGGCCCAGCCCCCAGGGAGCTGGCAAGCTGGATATAGAAAAAGACACACAGAGGGACAGGTTAGCGACGGTGTGGACCAGCGCAAGCTGGGGCATGCTGAGAGAGTGGCTTGCTGAGCATGGTTCTCCACTTAGCAAATACTTACTGAGCCCCTCGGCTGGGCCAGGCCCTGCCCAGGACATTGGGGGTGCACTGGCAAGGACAGAAGCCACAGATCTTGCCCTCCTAAAGCATTTGGGCAAAAAGGGATGATTAATAGGGAGGCAGATTGCGCATCAAGGTAATCTCAGAGCTTAATAGATTAAGAAAAGAAGCAGTGATGTCATACTAGAATAGGTTGGGAGGCAAGGAAGAGGAGGTCATCTGACAAAAAGAGCGAACCATGGGAAGGTTGGGGAAATAGCAAGGGCAAAGGCCCTGGTGTCAGCACAGTCCTGGCCCACCAGGGAATCAAAGCAGGAGAAGAGGGAATGGCGAGGTGGCACTCAGCAGACATGCACAGCAGAAGACTCTGAAGCTGGGGGTGTTGTCAGAACAGCAACACAGAAGCACACAGTGCCAGGTAAGAGATGGAAGAGAGCTGTAACTCAGCCGCCACTGGGAACTCAAAACTACACGCACATTCAGGAAAGAGGCATGGTGGGGCTGCAGGGCTGCTCCTCACGGTCAGCTTCCTGGCCTAAGGCTGGTTACGTGGGTGAGTCCACTTCCAGAAAAGTCCTCACGTGCATTCTTCCATGGGTATGTTATTCCTCAGAATATTTACTGAAATTAATTCCCTGGTGGTCCAGTGGTTAAGACTCTGTGCTTTCACTGCCAAGGGCCTGGGTTCAATCCCTGTCAGGGAACTAAGATCCCACAAGCTGCACAATGTGGCCAAAATGAAATTAAATTTAAATTAAGATAAATAAAGTGAAAAATAAAAACTTACCCACACAGGTAACAGCAATGCACTTTTTGCAAGAATATATATCAAATAAAGATGGACCTAAGTGAATTACAGTGGTCATCTTGGAGAGATAAGATTTGTAAAAAAAAAATCTTCCTGGAGTGCCCAGAGATGGTTGTAAGGCACATAGGTGTATCAACATATGTATCGCATATTTTACTTTCTCAACAACTCTATGATCTTGGTAAAGCTTATGGTCAAGTGGAGAGGGTAGACCAGTTATCCCTGTTTAACAGATGAGGTGATAAACGAATGAATGAATCAGTGAGTGAGCGAATGACTAAATGATTGAATGAATGAGTGATTGAATGACTAAGTGAGTGAATGAATGAGTGGGTGAGTGAGTGAATGGATGAGTGAATGAGTGAGTGAGTGGATGAGTGATTGAATGACTAAATGAGTGAGTGCATGAGTGAGTGACTGGATATGTAAGTGAGTGAATGAATGAGTGGGTGAGTGAGTGGATGAGTGATTGAATGACTAAATGAGTGAGTGCATGACTGAGTGACTGGATATGTAAGTGAGTGAATGAATGAGTGTGTGAGTGAATAGGTGAATGACTGAGTGAATGAATGAGTGAGTGAGTGAGTGAGTGGATGAGTGATTGAATAGGTGAGTGAGCAAATGAATGAATGAGTGATTGAATGAATGAGTGGGTGAGTGAGTGAATAAGTGAAGGAATAAATGAGTGATTGAATGAATGAGTGAATTAATAAATGAGTGATTGAATGGATGAGTGAATGAGTGAGTGAGTGGATGAGTGATTAAATGACTAAGTGAGTGAACGAATGAGTGGGAGAGAGAATGGGTGAAGGAGTGAGTGAATGAATAAATGACTGAATGAGTGAATGAATGACTGAGTGAGTGAGTGAGAACAGGCAAGCTCTGGAGCCTCTGGGGGGCCCTTGACATGCAGGTGTGAAGTTGCCAACAGATGCTCAGGAGCCAGTGCTGAGCGTGTTCTCAACCTCTGCAAACAGAAGCCCCCAGTGGACCCCCCGCAAGACCACTTCCAGTCGAGGTGGGAGCCAGCCCTTCCATCACTTCTGCAACCTGCACATGGCCCTGGACAGGCGCCCCAACAGCCAGCAGCACTTTGGAGCCGGGTGACAGCATGATGGATTGGGAGCTTGACAACAGGAAGGAGACGGTAGCTTTCCCTGCCTCCCGTCTACTTTTATTTCTCTCTGAACCTTGAGAGACGAGGGTTCCAGCAAGCCGCTCCCACCTGCCAACAGACTTGAAGTGTCTGGAGTGGCTTTATCGGCATCCACGCCCGGAGTTTCAGACCCGGAGCCTGACCGGGGTTGGAGAGCCAACAGCCAGGCCTGGGCTCTAGCCCCTTCGAGTGGGAGAAGGCCCTGCTGGGGTGAAGGGGTGGCTGAGGGGAAGGGAGGGTCCCAGGCCACTCGTGGGGGCTCTTCTGCCGTGGCCTGGCCATGTGGCCCCAGCACCCCACCCACGGCCCGCGTTTCCACATCCACAGAACAGGCGGGGTCACCCCAGGCCCTCCCGGTCACTGAGATGTGGGGAGGATGCAGGAACCAGCAGATAACGTTTGTTATCTGGGCTGCGTTCCTGCACTGCCAAGTTCCCTGCCCGGAAGGGGCGCAGTCCAGATCTGAGCCGAGCGCCCCGCACTGCCAAAGCTGAGCTCTCAAGGATGCGCTCTTCTGCCCCCCGTCCCTCGCTAGCTCGACTCGACTCCCTGGGGAGCGTGAGGGGCAGCCCCGGGCAGCAGAGACCTCCACACTCACTCTCGTCCCCACACTCGCCCACTTCTGGACGGGCCAGGGTCCTCCCTGCGGCTCTGACTGTCTGGTCCCCACCCCCGGCCCAGAGCTCAAGGCCTCGGTGATGGGGCGGAGGCCACTGCTCCCATCTCGAGGTACCCCTGGGGGTGGGCGGGTCTATGGGCTCAACCACCTGCTGCCAACCTGGCCCAGCAGTGAGGATGGCAAACTAGCGTTGCTGAGGGCCTGCCCACGGCATCCTGTTTCTTTCCTGCCTAGCGCATCCTATAATCCTTGGTTATCTTATTTATAGACTGGCTGACTTGCTAACCCTGGAGAAAGGAATGGCAACCCACTCCAGTATCCTTGCCTGAAGAATCCCAGGGACAGAGGAGCCTGGCGGGCTACAGTCCATGGGGTCGCAATAGCTGTCTGTTTCCCCACAGCAGGTAGGTTCCATGAGAGTCAGCCCAGGGCCTGCCTCCTCACACAGGGTCCCCAGGGCGTAGATCTGCAGCTGCCTGGTGGTAGAAGCACAGTAAACATTTGCTGAATGAGAGACTGCCTCAGCAAAGGAGGTAAGGGGTCTTCCCATTGCAGATGGGAACTGGGGCTCCAGGGAAGAGTATTTGAACCTGGGACTTAGGAGTTACAAGCCCTGCCTGTTCTCCCTCTTGGATGCCAGGACTGAGGCCTCTCTCAGGGTCCTTGCTTGAGAAGGGAGGGTAAGGTATAAGCTGGCGCTTACAAATAAAATACAAATGACAATGCAAATATCACAGGGCTGCTTCCATGACACCCCACCCTCTGGGAGACTGCTCTGAGTACTGGCTGTCTGTGGGAAGCTCTGCTATAACCTGGATCCTTCTGGGTGGCAGCTGAGTGGGGTGGGAGAACCCCCAGAGAAGGCAGGGTGGGCCAGGGGCCGGGTTAGGACACTGGCCCTGACCCCAGTCGGCCCCTGTGGTCTGAGGTCTTTGGGGTGGCATGGACAGTCCTGTTAGCTCAGGTTCCAGCCTTCCCCATCTGCAGAGAAACCAAAGTGCTGGAGTGAGGACCCTGCTGTGATGATGAGGTTTGGAGTCCTCACACCTGCACCAGGCTTAACACTGTGATCCCACTCGGTCCCCAGAACAACCTTGAGCAAGAAGGAATTGTGTGCCCATTTTACAGATGAGAAAACTGAGGCTTAGCAAGTTTAAATAACTTCCCTGAGGCTACAGAGCTAGCAAGCCACTGGGCCAGATGTGCCTGCCATTGAAGCAGCCCATTTGAATCCCTGCACAATGCCATGCTGCCCGTTCACCCCTTCACCCCCTGCCCTCCTCAGCCACGCATGCCCTTGTGGTTCTTGGCAACGCTCTCTCTTAGCTCTCCTTTGGCAGCCTCACCATCCTTCAGCCTGGTGGAAGCCCTCCTCCTCCAGGGAGCCCTCCTTCCATCTCCCTCTTTGGGGAGTCCTGCAGAGGAGAGAAGCTGTGCCCACAAAGCCATGACTGCACTTCCTCCACATCCTGCCTTGGTCATGCCTCCGTTTCTTCAGCCCTTGCCCTGGTACAAGCCATCATCACCTCCTGCTGGGACACCTCCTACCACCTCAGCCACACAGGCCTCCTTCCTGCCTTTCCAGCCATCCCACTGCTTCTGCCCCAGGGCCTTTGCACCTTCTGGCCCGTCTGCCTGAAGTCTAGTGCCTCTCTCAGTGGTTACTCCTTATCCTGTGCCTAGGGTGACATTTATGCCCCCCAGTCCCCAGAGATCTGTTTCCTTGTTTCTCGTTGGTCTCATTGCCTTTCTTATTCTGAGCTGATTCCTTTTTCCTTAAATTTTATTTATCTGTCTCTTTGGTTGCGCTGGGTCTTCGCTGCTGCTCACAAGCTCTCTGCAGTGGCAGCGAGTGGGGGCTGCTCTCCAGTTGCAGTCTGCGGGCTTCTTACTGTGGTGGCTTCTCCTGTCGTGGAGCACCGATTTCCTGTGTGAAGGCTTCAGTGCTTGCAGCACGCAGGCTCAGCAGTTGTGGCCCACGGGCTCTAGGTTGCCGGCTCTGAAGTTGAGGCTCGTGGGCTTAGCTGCCCCTCAGCATGCGGGCTCTTCTCGGACCAGAAGTCAAACCCACGTCCCCTGCATTGGCAGGTGGATTCCCAACCACTGGACCACCAGGGAAGTCCCCGTCTTGTTTGCTTAAAGCACGAGCCACACTGCATTCTTCTGGCACAGAGCAGGCACTCAATAAATATTCATTGAATAAATCAACCAATCAATTGAACAATTAATCACAAAGAAAGGGTCTGTGTTTTTTGAAGAGGCACCATTCCAGAGCCCCATGAAGACTCAAAGCTAGTATCCCAGAGCGTTAATGGGTATCCCTCAGCCGGTCAAATAGTCAGTCAGCAAACACTTGCCCTGTCCCCCTGAGTTTGCCTCCAAGAGAAGAGAGAAGTTAAGCCTCAGGGGACAAAGTTCACAGTGACGCAGGCTCCAGAGAGCCAGACACCTTGACCATCTCTACCCGGCGTATCCAGCCTTCGCCAGACACTAAGGCACCAGGCTGGGGAACCCACGCATTCATTCAACTTCTGCTCACAGGAAGGTGGCGAAATGATCAGCCCTGTGGCCCTGGGTTCAATCCTGCCCTCTGATGCCAATGGGAGCATGGTTCTCAAGAGTTCGCTTTGTTCTCCGGGCCTCAGCTCACCCATCAGCAGATGGGGACACAGTGGGACCTCCTGCGGAGTGGAGGGGCTTCCCTGGGGGGTGTTAACCCAGTGAGCAGCCCCACAGTCCCTGGCCCATGGAGTGCAGCCCGCTCTCACCAGCACCCCACGAGGTGCCAGCTGGGCCCGGGGCATACAGACAGGACCTGGATACTGCCTGCGGGACAGTCCTGGACCCACAGCAGAAACGCCAGTGGGCCACGTTGAGTGTGGTAAGCGTCACAGTGGACAGAGGTGAGGACCTCAAACCCGCCCTGGGACCAGCACAAGTGCCCAAACCTGCCAACCCCCACCCACACCCCGAGCTCCTCTCATCTCTCCTGAAGCTGACGCTGTTGGCTCAGCCCCTCCCCGCCCGTGGTCCCCAGGGGCCCGCAGCCCGCCCTCCCCTCTCTGCAGAAGCCCAGGATCCCCTCGGAGAGTGGCGGGGGTCTCCTGGATAAAGGGAAGAGAGATGGGCGAAGCCTTCATCCTGCCCCTGGCTCGTGGGACCTCCCGGGCCTGGCTGGGGAGGGCTTCCCTCCATCAGGCTGCACAGGTCCCAAGGGAGCTTGTTCCAAGAATTCCTTGTTTTAACGTCCAATGTAAGTGTCACAGTGGTAAAGAATCTCCCTGCTAAGAGACCTGGTTTCGATCCCTGGGTTGGGAAGATCCCTTGGAGAAGGAAATGGCAACCCACTCTAGTATTCTTGCCTCAGAAATCACAAGGACAGAGGAGACTGGCAGGCTACAGTCCATGGGGTCGCAAAGGGTCGGACACGACTTATCGACTAAAAGAACGACAATAATAGCAGGGCACGGGGCCCAGCCCTAGATGGAGGTGGGGAGCTACAGCCTTGCCTCCCCTCAGAGACAAGTGCAGTTCGGAAACCCATCAGTCCACAGCTTCCTGCCCAGAGGGGACACTGAGCCCCAAGAGGCCTGGGGAGGGGTGACGTCCAAGCTCAGGCAGAGAGACAGGACTGGCACTCAAGGCTCCTGACCACTCAGGACACCCCAAAATAGAGGGTGCAGCACTCCACTCCGAATGAACGGCTGGGCGTGCACAGCCTGGCAAGCATGGGGTCCCCGCCTGGTCCAGCCTCTGCCCTCCCGGGCGCCCCTCTCCCGGCCCGGCCGTGGCCGTGGCCTTGGCCTTGGGACGGGGCTGCGCCCAAGCCTTTGGCTCTGCTGCCCCCTGGCGGTCGCTGGCTTCAGTCTCCAGCTCCAGGTCTCTGATCAGCGGTCGGCTGGTCCAGGGGCAGGCCCGCAGGAACAAGGATACGGGGAAAGAGGGACCAGGAGTGAGGAAGATGAGGGAATCACGGGCAGAGACGGAGGTCGGGCCTCCTCCGTCTACGGTTACACACACACGCACACATGGAAAGAGCTCCCGTGGGAAGAGCAGAAGCTGGTCCTTGGGGGGCAGGGGGGCAGGACAACGCTGGGGCGGGGGTGCGCAGGTGAATCACAAACGGCAGCAACTCCTTGCTGCGTCTGCTGCCCCAGGGTGGAATGTGTGTCCCTCCCCCGGACTCTGGCCATCTCTGGGCCAGTTCTGACTATCAGAGTGGGGCAGAAGCAATACCATGCAAGTCCCAAGGCTGGGCGTACCTCTCCCCTTCATCCCTAGGATGCTCCTAGGAACCCGGTGGCCATGTTACCCGGCAAGGAGGCCACACGAAGGAAGACAAAGCTGATCCAGCAGCCAGCCCCAGCTGAGCCCTCAGCCGGCCGGCATCCAGCCGCGGGTGCAGCCGTTGTGGACGCACCAGCGCCGCCTCCACGCGAGGGCAGGGCTGACTGATGCCAGGAGCGGCACCTGAGCCGGGTCAACCCACGTCACGACAGATAACAGCGGCGGGGCTTTTTAAGCCACTGGGTGTGGGGGTGGCTTGTCATGTAGAGATGGAAACACAAAGCAAAGCCACCCCCCGACTTGGCAGCTGTGTGTCCCTGGGCTTGTCACTTAGCCTCTCTGAACCTCAGTCTCTGCACAGGGTAACAAGGCCCCAAGTAGTTGTGGGGGTTAAATGAGATGCTGTGTGGATGCGTTGAGAACCCGGGACCCAAGCCTGCTCGGCGTCCCATGGACATCATCTTCTTAAACCTCACAGCAGCCCCCAGAAGTCCTCAGATTTACAGTTGAGGAGGCAGATTTCCCAGGCAAGCACTCCCAATTCACAGTGTGGAAGCCAAGGTATAGAGAGGATAAGTAACTTGCCCCAAGCCTTAGCTGGTTAAAAAAAAAAAAAAAGAGCCAGGATTCACATCCACATGGTAAGCACAAAACAGCGGTCATCAGCGTCACCAGCACCACGGGCATTTTTGTCACCTTCTCCGCCATCACCTCCATAACCGCCATTGCCAGCATCACCCTTCCTCTTCATCATCGTCCCCATCACCATCACCGCCTCCTCATCAGCATCTCATCAGCATCAGCGTCACTGTCGCCATCAGCATGAAGCCGTGTGTCCACAGGACACTGGCAGGAAGACACAGATACGTTCCAGAAACGAAAAGGCAGAAGCGGCCGGGCAGGGGGAACTTGGCAGGTGGCAGAAGCTTGGAGGGGCTCTGGCTGGACACTGGGGCCACTGCTGGGAGTTGGGCAGAGCTGCGTCGGGATCCGGCTCGTTCTTAAGGAGTTCCTTCTGACAGCTCTGTAGAGGGCAGGCTGGGAAGGCAGAAGCAGGGAGCACAGTGAGGCGGCCCCCAGCAGCACAGGGTGAGGCACGGCCAGCCAGGTTTGAGCGGTCCCGGTGGGGCAGCTGGATGTGCTCTGACAATGCAGCACTGACCAGGGCCCCACGACAGATCGAATATGGTTTGATTTCACCTTTCCAGCCCCCCTGAGGAAGGGCGTGATTATTCCCATTTTAGAGCTGAGTTGACTGAGGCCGAGGCTTTCTCAGGGAGAGGGCCACCCCATACAGCTCTGCAGTACGTGGTGTTTCTGTGTCCAGACGCCCCAGAGATGAGCTTGGGGCCTCGGGCAGAGGGCGGTGAAGGGGGCTGACACCTGCCTGCCCAGCACCCCATAAAGCCAGCTGGAGCATGAATTGATGGGCCATTAATGGCCCAGCACTCAGAGCAGCCGTGTCCTCAGCAGTTTATAAACTCATAAAAACGCCGAGTTCATGGCCACACGTCCCTGCCTCCTTTAGCTGAGAATGAATGGGCTTTCCCAGGGAAAGAGGCAGCGAGCTTTTGGGGTGTCTCTGAGCAGGGCCATGACTGGGCTCCCTGGCCCTTATTCCTTCCCCTCCAGTCCTGGCCAAGGGGTCCACCTGTGGCCACGCTTCATTTCCTATTCCTGCCTCCTGGCTCTATTTCTCCTCCCTCACTCTCCAAGAAACCTCCCCCTGCCCCCCGCTGAAGGCAAGGGAGAGGATAAAGGAAGGAAATCCACGTCTGGCCATTTACACCTAGGTGCAGGCAGTACCTGTGGTTATCACAGGTTCCGGATCAGGGCAACGTCATGGCCCTGTGGGACTGATGGACAAACTAAAAGTCAGACCACTGAAGCGACTCGCCCACGGCTCCAGAGTCAGAGCCCCTAACCCTGCCCCCTGGTCCACGCGTGTTCCCCAGCCCTCGGTGCCTGGCGTGATGTGGCCCCGACATGCTAGATGTCACCCTGTCCAGGTGTGACTCTGACACCCCGGCTGCAGGGACCCGCTGCAGTCGGCACCACCAGAATCCAGCTGGGACTGCATTTTCAGCTTTTCCTGGGGTGTCTGCTCCCCGCCCACTCACTTAACAAGCATTGGTGGTGTACTCTGCCATCATCACCCAGCACTTTCTCTACTGCCGGGCGCACGACCAAGCTCCTGTTCATTCATTTAACCCGCCCAGCAATTTCATGAGAGGTGTAGGAAACTGAGGCACACGAAGGTTGAGTAGCTCACGCCCACCGCCCCCCACCCCCGCAGCACCCGGCTGGTGGCAGACCAGGCTTTGAACTGCCTTTCCATCCTGAACCCACGGTACCGCCCGGCCACCGCTCTCCCAGGTCTAGGCCGCTCATCCCGAGACTCCCCGCTCGCCCCTGGGCGGCGCGGCGACCCCCCGGGGAAAGTGGTGGCTGGGGAGGTCCCCACACCCCCAGGTGCCCCCCAGCGGAGGCCCCGCCGCTCAGGCGCTCCCCGCAGGGCACCAGGAGGGCCGTCCGAGGGCGCGGGCATCCGGGCCGCACCTGCGACAGGCGTGGCCCGCGCGCCCCCTCGCGCTCTTCCGCGGCCCTGCACCTGGCCGCGGCGGCTTGGAACCCCGGCGCCGCCTCGGGTTTCTGCCCGCCCGCAGCTCCGCTGTATCCCACACGATGTTCTTTAAAGCAACCCACGTGTTTCATTTAGCCTCATCTGTCAGACTCCAGGTCTGGTGCCTTAGTTGCTTTTTCCCAAGTACGTTGTAAGTGAAAGTGAAGTCGCTCAGTCGTGTCCGCCTCTTTGCGACCCCATGGGGTGTAGCCTGCCAGGCTCCTCTGTCCATGGGATTCTCCAGGCAAGCATACTGGAAGGCAGCTATGCTCACCACTATACCACCAACGCCAGGCAAGCATACTGGAGTGGGCTGCCATTTCCTTCTCCAGGAGATCGTCCCAACCCAGGGATCAAACCCGGGTCTCCCGCATTGCAGGCAGACGCTTTATCATCTGAGCGACAAATCCACAACTTCAAAAACCGTCATGTGCCTCATAAAATCTTCTCCCACCTCGCACGTTTGACAACAGCCCCCACTCCAAAGCTGACCTCTGCTGGCGCTGGTTCAGTCGCTGAGGGTGGAGCGCCTCCCAGACGCCCAGGGGGGATCCCAGGCCTCCCCCAACCTACATTCCAAGGAGCAGAGCCAGACGTTAACCAAAGACTCGCAAAGGTAAAATTATGACTTAATGTTACTGAATTATAAAATCTGTTTGCTGTGAGGAAATAAGAAACATTGGGTAAGTCCACATTTAAGGGATTTGATCTGATTGGGGAAGTTAAGGAGGGCTTCCCGGAGGAGGTGATACTTGAGTTGCAATCTGAAGGAAGAAGAAAAAAAAAACTGAGTCAAGAGGGAAAGTGTTCTGGGCAGAAGGACCATCGTCTGCAAGATCCCAGAGGCAGGAAGGGAGTCTTCTCCATGAGTTCTTAGTCTTCGCCTTGAAGCTTGGCTCCCTGCCCACAGAGTGGGAATTCTGCAGATGTAGCCTTCTTCCTTCCCATCCCTGGCCCTCAGCTCCAGCCTAACTCACTCACCCATATCCTCAGCACTGCCTCGTGCTTTAGGCCTATGCCCCTTTCACCCTCGTAACCATGAAGTTTTGCTCCCAGGACGCCCATTTCCAAGTCAAGGAAACTGAGTTTCAGAGATGTCGAGTTACTTTCCCATAGTCGCACATTGTCCAGAACCAGGACTGGCACATAAGCCTGGTGGCTGTGCCTCTTACTCCATCAGGCTGCCTCTCAATAGTGCCCCAACGCTTACTCTTGTGGACTTCAAATCGGGAGACCTGGAAGTAATGTTTGACTTAGCACGAACTTGCTGAGCAAATCTGAGCAAGTGACCGCCCCCCGCTGAACCTTGGTCTCCTCACCTGTAAAACAGTCAGAGTGCACAATGGTAACAGCTAACCTCCGTTGCTCCTCACATAAACACTTTACTGCAAGCACTGGTGTTATTCCCACATTACGGATGGGGAAATACACTCAGAGAGGTTTAGCGACCTGTCCAAAGTCACACAGCTGTCAGTAGCAGGGCAGCATGGAGTCAGCTCCAAGGCCTTTTCTGGTAACGTTCTCAGCCCAGTTTCCCCAAGGAATCTCAGCTTGTCACTGGAATGTCAACCAGCCTCTGGCCCCGAGCACAACGCTTCATGCCCATTCAGTCCACTCCTGCTGTCTGTGAGTCTGAGACTTCTGTCTCCAAAGAGGCAGGGGCCGAGGGATGCCCCCTGCCTCACCTCGCCAGGCCCCTGGGGTTCTGGCAAAGCCCATCACTGCCTCCCAGGCCACCCACACAGCTCCTATCGCAGAGATGGATCAGCCCGTTTAGAGACCCTGGGGCAAGCTTTTGCTCTTCTGGGGATCTCACTCTTCTGGCCTCCCGTCAGCACATGGGTTTGTTCCTGGATGGAAAACATTTCGTTGCCAGCTCCATGGTGCGCTGTCAAAGCTGCCTTCTGTCCCAGGTGCAGACGCCTCCTTTGGGAGCCCTGAGGCACCCGAGCTGGCTTTCTTTAGCCCAGGGCCAGGCTGCCTGGCAGAAAGGGGCAGAGCCAGGGTCTGAGTGCGGTTCCAGCCGGGCCTCCCGCGGGGCCCCTGGGGACTGAGCCAGTACAAGCCCTAACGAAGCCATCGGGAGTGGGGCATGCAAACCCTTCAACCAGCACAGCAGTTGGCCAAGGCCCTTATGAAACGTGATGGCCTGGCTCCTTCCCTACTAGAGCCCCAGGCAGCTGGGACAGACCTAGCTTCTACCTTTGGCAGCTTCAGCCTCAACGAGGCAGGACCGCAAGATGAAAACAGCATTTTTAAAGCTGCAGATAGACAAAGGCAAGTAGATGCCCAGGAAGTGGAGGCTGGGCCGTATGAGTTGAGAATTTGACAAGGGTTTGGAATCAATCACAGCTGGCTCCGTGGGGGAGGCAATCGTAGCACTATGTTGTGGAAAGAGGAAGGTGACAGCTGGCGGAAAGCTTGAGCGTGAGCATCTGGAGGAGGGAGTAGCCCCGTGTGAAAGCTCAAAACCTGGAATTAGTATGCACCGTGCAAAGGCAGGTGGTTGAGATGCTGAGGGGTAGCTCTCAGACTGTCAAAGGAGAGCCAAGCTTTACGGAGCACGTACCTGTGTGCGGGCTGTTTCTAGGGGCTCCACGGGTATCATTTCATCTGGTCCTTACAGCTACCCATGAGCCAGGAGCTAACACGTTGTCATCCTCAGGTTAAGATGAGGCAGTTGAAGGGCAAAGAGGTTAAGTACCTTGCCTAAGGTCACACAGTCAGTAAGTGGTGAAGCTGGGAAGATTCTAAGCAATGACCCCATTTAACCTCTGTTACAAATGACCCCTAAGGCCCAGAGAGGGGCAGGAACTTGCTCACGGGGGCCAGGGCCAGAATGGAGGCTGAGGTTGTGGCTTCCTGACCGCAGGACAGGGAAGGGACATTAACACAGGAAGGTCAGTCTTCTCTAGACCCAGCTGATCCAGGGAGGGTGAGGAGGTGGGGTAGACTGGCACAAGAGATGAGGAGGGATTGCAGCGAGGGGAAAGGCAGCCTTGGTAAGGAGGTCTTAGACCCGCAGCAGCTGTCTGCCAGAAGTTTAACGTCATTTCATATTAAGCTATTTTTTTTCATTTGGGGGGCTGTTCTGAGTCTTCGTTATGGGGCACAGGCTTCTCTAGTTGCAGCGTGTGGGCTTAATTGTGCTGTGGCAGGTGGGGTTGAACCCACGTCCTCTGAGTTGGAAGGTGGGTACTTTACCACTGGAACACCAGGGAAGCCTCTCTGACACTAACTTCTTAAAACAGCAAAAGATTTAGATGACATTTCACCAAAGAAGGTATATAGACAAGAGATAAGCAAATGAAAAGTTGTTCCACCTCATTGGACGTTAAGGAAACAGCGATTAAACCACAGTGAGATACCACTGTACACCTATCAGAACAGCTACGGATCAAAAGTCCAATCATCCCAAGTGCCGGAGGGGAGATGGGACCCTCAGACGCTGCTGGGAGGGAGGCAAACGGCACAGCCACTTTGGGAACATCTGGCAGTTGCTTACCAGTTAAATTAGCACCTACTGCGTGATCCGGTCATTTCATCCTCGCTGATTACCCAAGAGAAACGAAAGCAAATGTTCACTGAAGCTTTATATAACTGACCCCAAACTGGGGACAACCCAAATATCCACCCACAGATGATAGATGAATTGTGATATATCCATAGAATGGAACACTCAGCAGCATAAAGGTACAGACTGTTAATATACACGACAACATGGGTGAATTTCAAAATAATTATGCTACAGAAATAAGCTAGAGAAACTCCTATATGATTCCATCTATATAAAATTCTAAGGAATGGGAGCTAATCTATACAACAGAGCAGACCAGTGGTTGCCTGGAGCGGGGGGTGGGCGGGGAGCGGGGGAGGATGGTTTCGGCACAGAGAAACTTTCAGAGGTGATGTGTGTGTTCATCGGGCTTCCCTCATATCTCAGTTGGTAAAGAACCCGTCTGCCATGCAGGAGGCCCTGGTTTGGTTCCTGGGTCGGGAAGACCCCCTGGAGGAGGGATAGGCCACCCACTCCAGTATTCTTGGGCTTTCCTGGTGGCTCAGCTGGTAAAGAATCCGCCTGCAATGCGGGAGACCTGGGTTCAATCACTGGGTTGGGACGAGCCCCTGGAGGAGGGAAAGGCTGCCCACTCCAGTATTCTGGCCTGGAGAATCCCATGGACTGTGTAGTCCATGGGGTCGCAAAGAGTCGGACACGACTGGGCGACTTTCACTTCACTATGGGTTCATCGTTTTGAGTCTGGCGATGGTTTCAACAATGTACACATATAACAAAACCTGCCAAGCAGCACACTCTAAACTGGGAGCCCAGTGTTGACACGCATGCCCTGCTGATGCTCTGTACAAAACAGAACTAGTGAGACCGGCTGCCGCTCAGGGACGCGGCCCAGTGCACAGTGGTGGCCTCGGCAGGAAGGAAACCCGAGAAAGAGCGGATGGCCGGGTGCGTGTAGCTGCTCACGTGGCTCTAAGCGGAACCTAGCAACGTTGTAACGCGCCAAGTCGCTTCAGTCGTGTCCGGCTCTTGCAACCCCACGGACTGTAGCCGACAGGACCCCACAGGCTCCTCTGTCCACCGATTCCCTACTTAAGAATACTGGAGTGGGTTGCCATTTCCTCCTTCAGCAGATCTTCCTGACCCAGGGAGCGAACTCGCATCTCTTAGGTCTCCTGCCTTGGCAGGTGGGTTCTTGACCACTAGCGCCACCTGGGGGGCCCCAAAACAACTCTACTCCAGTAAAAATGAATTTTAGAAAGATATGCGCAGTTCATGGTATGTCCAGTCTATCTCAGTAAAGCTCCTTAAGGAAAGAGTCTGGTGTTAAGCAGCCCAGAGGATCAGAAAGATGCCCCTGGACCAAGGTGATCTGAGGAAGGTACCTGCAGACCCTTGTGCGCCACATAACCCCAGCCCGCACCGCGAATCCCGGGGCTTCAGCAGGAACCTGGAGTTAATCAGCCCCACCCCTCATGCTGCAGAAGGGGAGCCGAGGCCTGTGCGTGACGCCGCAGCTGCCTCCAGGTTCAGCACGATCGGTGCATCCTGGGCGTGCCCACCTTTAGCACTGGTGGTAGAACAGCGCGTGCCCCGGGCCTGGGCACTGGTCTTGTACAGGGGCCCTCAGTGACCAGTCACCCTGAGCTTCAGTTCTGCACGTGCAGATGGGGGTAAGAATGTGGGATGGCTTTCTGAGGAGGCTTTCAGGAAACCCACCTCTCACTGCCTTAAGCCATAGAGGGCACCCATTGGCTCACATAACTGCTGCCCAGCGCTGTCTGATCAGGCGAGGTCCGGTCCAGCAGCAACTTAGAGACGTGACCGCCACACTGGCTTCTGTCCATCTCTGTTCTCTGCCTTTTGCAGTGAGAGTTTCCCCGCAAGCTGGCCCCTGCCACATGGTCCCATAGAGGGGCCAGCAATAGGCCAGCACCTGTGGGCATCCTTGCTCATGGCCTGCAGGAACAAGAAGGCATCTTTGCTCCAGACCAAGAGGGAAGGTGTTAGCATTCCTAAAAAGGCAACACTGCTGTCTGGGCAGGTGCCAGTCTCAACTATCCCTGTCTGCTGGGACCACGGGGCAGGTCCTAGGAATGGAGGGCCGGGGAGGGAGACAGTGGGCTGGGGCTCTGCGGAACGGGAAAGGGAAGGATGGAGGGCAAGCAGAAGCAGCAACCGTAACCGGCCACAGCCAGATATCTGGTTAATCCAGGAAGGTTCCCTGGAGTAAATGGGCATTTCCAATTTGTGGGAGGAGGATGGCTGAGCCAGGCAGAAACCACTCTCCAGGTTTTTCTTTTTCAATCTGAGAGGGTGTATCTGAGAACAGAGACTAGTGTATAAAAGGTAATGTGCGTCCTTGGGCAGTTTTATTTTAAATTTCATTTCATTTTCATTTTCAAACAGCAATCTCATTAACTCGCTTCAAAAACCAAAAGATATAACAGCGTACACATTAGACTCTCTTCCACCTCTGCCCCCATCTGCCGACCTGCGGCCCCCTCCCCACAGGTGACCACTGTCCGCGGTCTCCCAGGTGTCCTTCCAGCATTGCTTCTGCATGCCCAGGCAAATAAGAATGTGCATTCTCAGTCTTGACTTTTCCGACACAAAACGTAAACTGTCGAACATGCCGTCTCACCACTCAATTTTTCCCCTTGACCATGGTTTTCCATTGTATGGATGGACCATATTCATTAACCAGTCTCTGATTGGTGGGTGTGGATTGTTTCCAGTTATTTGCTACTATAAACAATGAAGCAGTGAGCAACTTTGTAAACAGCTGCCATCTCACATGCCTGCAAGTATTTCTGTAAGATGACTTCCCCAGAGGGGGAATTTCTGGGTCAGAGAGACCATGCATTTGAAATTTTGATGGATATTGCTAAGCTGTCATAGAGCCCAGACACTCAGACCCTGGCCCACAAGCAAAGGTGTGGAGGGTCCATTTCTCCCACAGACTCACTGACAGAAGGGATCATCTGACCATCAGAGTTTTGCCAGTTGATGAGGGAAAACAACCGGTGGATATCACCTCCATGGGCGCTGATCCTACTACAAGTAAGCTAAACTCTTTGTGTATGCTTAGGCAAATTAGGACTTCCTTTTCTGCCCTTCCTTTCCTTCCTGAACTGTCTGTTCATATGATTATCTGGCTTATGCTGCGTTGTTTGACTTTCTGTAATCAATTTCTGTAAGTTCTTCTGGAGGGAGATTAGCCCTTTGCCTCTGATATGAATTGCAAACATTTTTCCCAGTTTGTCATTCAACTTTGCTCGTGATAAGATTTTTTTCAGCATGCAGAATATTTTTTATTTTTATATAAGTAGATAGTGTACGTGTGCTCAGCTGCTTCAGTCGTGTCTGACTCTTTGTGACTGCATGGACTGTAGCCTGCCAGGTTCGTCTGTCCTTGGGATTCTCCAGGCAGGAATGCTGGGGTGGGTGGCCATGCCCTCCTCCAGGAGATCTTCCTGACCCAGGGATCGCATCTGCGTCTCTTATGTCTCCTGCAGTAGCAGGCAGGTTCTTTACCACTATTGCCTCCTGGGGAGCCCAGAAGTAGATTCATCGGTCTTTTTTGACGGCACCTAGATTTTTGAACCACAAGCAAAGTCCCTGCGCACGCTCCCCCCAGCCTTGCTCCCTGCAGTGTTATTTACAATACTCAAGAGAAGGAAGCCACCTGAGCATCCCCTGACGGCTGAATGAAGGGAGAAAGTGTGGTGTAGACAGCGAGGGAATAGTGCATGCCTGCTTGTTCAGTCGCTTCCGTCGCGTCTGACTCTGTGATCCTAGGGACTGTAGCCCACAGGCTCCTCTGACCATGGGATGCTTCAGGCAAGAATGCTGGAGTGGGTTGCCATGCCCTCCTTCAGGAGATCTTCCCGATCCAGGGATCAGACCCACATCTCCTGCGTCTCTTGCACTGCAGGTGGATTCCTTAGCCACTGATCCACCTGGAAGCCTGATGGACTAGTACTCAGCCGTAAACAAGAAGGAAATCTTGCTGTTTGAAGCACCATGGATGGACCTTGAGGGTATTATGCTAAGTGAAGTAAATCAGACAGAGAAAGACAAATACCATATGATCTCACTTATATGTAGAATCTTAAGCAACAACAACCCTGAGCTCACATAGAGAACAGATTGATAGGGAGTGGGCAAAATGGATGAAGATGTCAAAATGTACAAATTTCCAGTTATAAATAAATCATGAGAATGTAATATACAGCTTGATGACTATAGTTAATTATAGTGTATTACATATTTGAAGGTTGCTAAGGGAGTAGGTCTTCAGCATTCTCAGCACAAGAAGAAAAACTTAAGTTTAAAAAAGGAAAAGAAAAAAATACAAAAGAAAGTCCCTGCACTTTAAAATTATAGAGGAATTCTTCCATGTTTCCTTCTAAAATGTTTATGATTTCATTTTCACACTTAAATCTTTAATTCCTTTGGGGTTTGTTTGCTCCGTTTAATTTTTGAATTGAAGTGTGGTTGATTTACAAGAGTGTCTTAGTGTCAGGTATACAGAAAAGTGGTTAGTTTAATATTTATAGATACAACCTTTTCTCCATTCTTTTCTGTGATAGGTTACTACAAGACACTGCACAGTTCCCTACGCTACACAGGAAATCCTTGTTGTTCAGCTGTTTTAAGCACAGTAGTGCGTATCAGTCACCCCTTACCCTGATTTATCCCTCCCTCCCTTCCCTTTTGGTAGCCATAAGTTTGTGTCTGTGAGTCTGCTTCTCTTTTGCAAATAAGTTAATTGGTGCTAGCTTTTAGATTCCACGTATAAGTGATAGTGTATGGTATTTTACTTAGTTCACTTAGTATAGATTCATCCACATTGCCGCAAATGGCATCATTTGTAATTTAGTTCAGGGAAAGAATAGGGATCCAAAAATTGTTTTCTAGGTGGCCATTCAGTGGTTCCAGTAATATTTATTGAATCATTCAGCTTTTCTCCATTGGTGATATAGTAACATTATCAAATGTTAAATAATACCTATCTGAGTTGAGGCCAATTTCTGGGTTTCTGTTCTATTTCACTGGTCCCTGTGAGAATTCATGGGCCAAAGCCACATTGTCTTAAGGATTGAAGCATCACATGTATTATGGTTCTTTTCTTCAGGGCCCGCCTTTTTTCCAGGGTTTCCTTGGCTCTGCTCACTGGTTAATTTTTCATGCAAACTTTAGGATAAACTCCCAGTTCGCTGAGAACTGTTGATATTTTCCCCAGAATCAAAGTATATTTATCAATTCACTTAGAAAGAATTAGAATTTCATGGTGCTGACTCTCCCTCCCCACATATGATGCATCTTTCCACTCTCCCACATCTTGTCTTTTAAGAGTTGTGTTAATTAAAATATGTATTGAAATAGAACGTGGATACAGAAAAGTCACAAATCGTTAAGGGTACAGTTGGGTGAATTTTCACAAGGAGAACATCCCATGAGATTTCCTCCCAGGTTGAGAAACGGAAAATGATGACGCCTCCTCTAAGTCTGTCCTCCCCCAAAGGAGCCACTTTCCCTGATTCTACCCTCAAGAGTGTTTTTCCTGGTTTTGAACATCGCCATGTAGATCACACTGTCTGTGGTCTTTGGTGTCTGGCTTCTTTCACTCAATAGTTTGTTGGCAAGACTCGTGCACGCTGTTCTACACGGCAGAGCCTCATTCAGTTCCATTGCTGTGCCGTTTCTCACTGCGTTCAAGCCTTCCACACCTGGCAGGTATTTGGGTCATCTCCAGTCGGGGCTTTTAAGAAGAGTGCTGCTATGAATATTCTAGTCCATGTCTGTGGGCGCACACATGAGCTCGTTTCTGTTGGCCTTCCAAGGAGTAGCATGGCTGGGTCATAGGGTGTGTGTTTGAGAGCTTTGCCAGACACCACCCAATAGCTTCCTGAAATGCTGGGACTCGGGACTTCCCTGGGGTCCAGTGGTTAAGAACCTGCCTTCTGGTGCAGGGGAGGCGGGTTCAGCCCCTGGTCAGGGAACTAAGATCCCACACGCTGCAGGCAACTACATCCACGCGTCCCAGCTGGAGAGTTTGTGCGCTGCGCGGGGAGAACTCGCACGCCACAGCTTAGAGACCTGAGGAAGCCAGATAAATAATACATATATTTTTGATAAATAAAGTACTGGTACTCATTTCTACTCAAGTTGTCTATTAAATCCCTTCCCTTCTTCCTGGACACGCTGAGACTACATCTCCCAGCCTCCCTTGCAGTTAAACAAGTCATGTGATGCTAAGTCCTCAACAAGGGCCCTGTGTGTCCCTTCCAAGCTCCAAGAAGAGTGAACCAACCTCCTCCAAGCTCCGCTCCCCCTTCCCTCTCTCTGGAACCCACAGGGACCCACGTCAGCCACGCGAAAGACAGCAGCACAGTGTCGGGGGGGCAGAGGGGATGCTGGACGGGGTCTGGCTTCCCGACCCCGGGGCCCATGGCCCTCTTTATCACAGACTGGGGGAAGAGCCGGGTTCTCCTGGTCTGACTGCAGGCAACGCTGCCCCTGCGATATTTGAGACAGAGTTGCTCTCCTTGCAGGGTGAGTCCCTCGCTGGCAGGAAGTATGTTTTTGCTCCTGTTTTCTGAGCCGCCTAGTAGCCAACAGTCACAC